TGCTTGCACCTGCCCTCTCCCCATAGTTCTGTGGCACATGTCAGGTCTGTTTCTTCATATACACCCCTTGGTTGCCTGCGAGCCCACCAGGGAGATCCCTGCTGTGTGCAGTGAGTATGCCTGGAACACAGCAAACAGGCAAAAGCACAAACCAGGCAGAGAAATCCAGCAGCATTTATTCATATTGCACAAGGGAGAAATCCCAGCCTCACTTCCTGAGCCATAGCCTTGTGCCCCAAGCCCTGGAGATCACATCTGACCCTCCACAGGCAGAGCACTGTGGGATGTCCAGCCCCTCATGTGTCAGCTGGGTTAGAAACGGCCTTTTAACTGGGAGTGGAGTCAGGAGCATAAGTGTATAGCTGTCATGATGATGAGATTGTGCCACTTTGACTGCATGGGGGAGGGAGCAGCAGTCAGAACAATGGTGACTCTGTGGAGAAGAGGGACCTTGGGTTGGGGGTACAGAGATACTGGGGCAGAGATTATCATACTAGGGGAACCATGTTTTGAGCCTGGTTTTCCCAACGGTTCCATCCCACCCACCAATCCCATTCCCATGCTCTCCTTCCAGGCACTTGCAAACCCCATCATGCAAAAGAAGTCTGATGACAGCACTGAGGAGACAAGATTAAAGTAACCACACTTGGATATGGCAGGCTGATCTGCATGGTTGGATTTGCCTTCTCCTTGGGGTGTATGTCAGGACCAACTTGTGCCTTGATGCTTGTAAACTTGCCTCTCCCTCTCACTGGCAGCTGGGTTCCTCTGGCCGGTCTGCCATCCCTTCTATTTTAGTGTCATCCACAACTTGGATCAGGGTTGTAGTCGGACCAGGGAAGCCCCTGACAAGGTCATTAGGCAGCACACAAAGGCAGGGTGGCTTGGAGAAGGCCACCTGGACAGCATTAAAACTAGCCAATATAATCGCTAGAAGAGTATGCTTCACCTGCGGGACAGAAGCAGTCAGGAACCCCTTTGGCCTCTGCTTTGACAGGGGCAGAAAAGAGACGGAGTCTCCCCACAAAGATTCTTCTAGTTCTTTGTGGAGCCGTTACTTCATTGGGCAGGGAGTGATCAACTTTTTCTCATGGGATACCACCCACACTGACCCAGTCATGCTGGCACTGACTACTGGGAACTGCCGAGCCAAGGAGATACTACTGGACGCAGTTCAGAGAAGGGCCAGGGGGAGTGATTTATGAGAGGAGATAAATGCTACTGAGCTTGGTTAAACGGTGATTGAAGAAATAGAAATACAATGGTTCCAGAGACATTTTAATAGTGTAAACAAGTGGGGAGAGGGATTATTTAGGGTGGAAAAAAGTGGGGCAGCTGGAAGCTCCATGGTTTGGGACATTTACTGCTGAGCTGTATAAAGCACTAAAGTGTGCCCTCTGGGTGACCAGGGCTGAGGGAAGTGACTTGATGATCTTAATAGATGTTTCCATTTCAAGCTCCCATCATTCTATCTTCAAGCAGGGGGAGGGGAGACGGAAATGTAATAAAATCAAGATTTGCATTTTTGATGTGCTGTATAAGAAATCATTTTAATAACAGGGTCTGTGATCAAATTAATCTAAACAGCTCTTCGTGTGAGTTGTGGGTTTCCTTGCAGTTGAGGTTTTGGAGTGGAGAGGCAAACAAGGCCCTGTCTGGTAAAGAGCAGAGAATCTGTGGGAGGAGGATTTAACCTCAGGGCATGAGCTGAACCTGCTTTGAAACATTGGGAAAGACGGACCCCTGGACAGGAACCAGAATTCCTGGCAGGGATGGGAGGGACACACTGCTCCAGTTCTGCCAGTGAAGGAAGCTTTGAATTGCTCTAGGTCTGTCTACACATGATATTAATGCTATAAAGGCTTACTGCACAGTAAAATATTGTGCAGTAAGCCTTCCTTGGCAGCACATCTACATGTAGAAGCAGCCTGGTACAGGGTGGCTCCTACCCTGCTCGCCCCCACACCCCCCCACAGCACCCAGAGGGAGCTCCAGGCTCCCCGGGGATGCTAGCCTGGGGGCTAGAAGGGGGAGTGGGGGCAATGCACTCAGGGTGAGGAGAGCTCTGCAGTAGCTCCAGTAGCTGTCTCCTGGCCCTGTGCACCTCTGGAGGGGTCCTGATGTTCAGGGGGCCAGGAAACAGCTGCCACTGCAGAGCTCTCCTGGCTCCATGCACATGGGGACAAGCCTTCTGCCCACTGTGGTTTCCTCCCACAGCCAGGGGCTGGCCAGGAGCTGTCCTGCTTCTGGGGCAGCTCCCAACTAGCCCCTGGCTGCTTGAGGATTTCCCTGTCCAGCTGGGGCTGGCTGGAAGCTGCCCCAGAAGTAGGACAGCTCCTGGCTAGCTCCCAGCTGGTCAGGGAAGCAGAGAGCTCCTCATTCCTGGTGGTGCTCAGCTCCAGCTCCTGTGGGGAGCTGGGTAGCACTGGGGCAGGACTGGGGAGAGAGCTACCCAGTCCTGGTGCTTCTTGGCTCCTGGCGGGAGCTGGGAGCTGAGCAGTGACAGGACTGGGGGAGTTACCCATTCTCTGTAGCCCCCTGGTGTTGAGGCTGACCAGGAACAAATTTGTCAATCTTAAACAAGATCAGCATCTTCACATGTACTACTGTGCAGTTAGTTTACTACTAAACTACATGTAGACAGTGATGCTTTACTACACACTAATCTACTGCGCAGTAAAGCATCTTGTGTAGGCATACCCTCTGTGTGTGTCTCTCTCTCTCATACACACACACACACACACACACACACACACACACACGTATCCCATCCCCATCCCTACCCCAAACAAAAGCACTAACCTTCTTTAAACATACAACCACTAGCCCCACTCACACTAGTGCTCTGATGTATGCACAAGAGGCTATATTTTCTAGTAGCATGTACTAATTTTGATTACCTCAGTTTGGGGATTCCTAAGGCACCAGGGTCACAGTCAACATGAGTGGGTATGTTTGAAAATGTAGACTTAACTGTGTACAGCAAGAATAACACCTAGGTACCTGTGAGTACTGAAAACATGCACATGAGGATTATAGAGGGGTTGTTGAGGATCCAGTTAATCTGAGCTGGGAAGCTCAGATCCACTGAGGTCCAGTATGCATGCAGGGCTTTGCACTATATCATATCATATATCATATCATATCTCATATATATATACTAGAGTGTCTTACATGGTGGCAAACTTCTTGTTTTCTGTTCTCCCTGCCTCATATGGTCAATACAGTATCCATGGGTAGCACCAGTCATCCAGGTGAGCCTTGTTCTATCATATCCTTTATTAATCTATCTGTAGGCACTGATGCTTTGAGTTTTCATTGGCAGATTCCACTTCTCCCACAGAAATGGTGTGGGTAGACAGATGGGAGTGCAGCATTCATAAGGGAGCCACAACAGACCTTGGTAAGATTGACAGACACTCTTGGCAGTTTGGCTGTATTCAGGATCACAGAGATGAGTTCAGTTTCCACTGACATATCATTTCATCTTTTCAAGACCAAAGTAGGGGTTCATTCACTGGACAAAGAGCTTCTCTCTTTCATTGATATCATCTGCAGTGGACAGTCAGAAGATCCTGAGTCCTCTCTGGCGGGGTTGTGGGCAATGGGTTGCTAGTTGTTGTAGAGCTTTTTTCATCCAGCAGTCTTCTCTGTACAGTGTTTGGTAAATGATGCGTCCAGGCCTCAGGGAGTTGGGTGCCTTCAGCATCTCTCTGCAGCAGGCCTTGGCAGTACCTGGCATTCTCCTCCTGGATCTGGGTGACCTCTGTGTTCCTTCCAGAGAAACCTGCAACATGGTTGGGTAAACCACTGGCCACATGGACTTTGTTGCTGGCTCTCTTCTTCTTCCTGTTCTTCTTCTGAAAGAGAAGGCAGGTGAAGACTTGCTTGAACCTCTTTCGGAAATGCTTGGAGATGAGGGCATAGACGATGGGGTTGAGGCAGGAGTTGGCATATGAAAGGCAGTGGGAGGCCAGGCGGCAGGCATAGGTAGCTCGGTTGAAGGGGAAGTGGCCAAACCAAAAGCACAGGATGACTAGATGGTGAGGCATCCAGCAGAGGCAGAAGAGGATGGCCACAGCCACAATCATCTTTGTGACTTTGCGTTTGGCTTTACGAGACTCTGAGATCCTCTCAATGGGATCTACAGAGGTCCACAGGAACTTGATAGTCCTGGCATAGGCCAGGCTCACAACCACCACAGGCAGGAGGTACCCAAACACGAAGGTGAGGATGTCCAAGATCTTACGGTGTTGGTCTTCCCAGATGGGGACACAGAGAGGCATGCCCTGGTAATGAACTATCTGGTAGTAGCTGAGGTAGGGGCCCGCAAAAAATACTGATAGAGTCCAGATCACCACAATGGCAACTCCTGCATTCCTGGAGGTGCGAAGGTCCCGGGATTTCAGTGGGTAGCGGATGGCCAAGTATCTGTGGGGCAGGGGCGACATTTACATGAAACCGAAGAGAAAGCAAATAAGCAAGCTACCACTTCCATGCTGTTCTGTGCATCCCCCTTCTGAGAATGCCAACTCCACCAGGGCCTCCTGCTGTCTCCCCTCCTCTGCCCTAGAAAAGGAGGATTACAACTAATTTACCCAATACTCAGGACCACCTAAACCATCTGATCTTCCTTCCATCCTAAGCACTCTTCATCCCTGTCCTTCCATCTCCTATTGGACACCTGGATCTTCCTCTATCCAGCCCCTGGAGGGTTTCTTGTTTCCTGGCTGCTGCCCTGTGACATCATGCCCTGACTGAGTATTGCATACCCCTTGGAGAGCACAAAAACCCAATCTCAGATCATTTCTGTTTGGAAGAGCAAACCACCCTGTCCCCAGGGAGGTAGGAAAAGGCTTGGGTTATCAGACTGAGGGAAAGCTTATTGGGATGTATGTATGTGGGGTGGAGGTGAGACAAGGAATAGCAGAGAATGGAGGAGGAGAGAAAAGAAAAATGGGGGGGGGAGATAAAGACAGACATCCAGTTGGAACTGGGGAAGGGAGGGGATTTCTGCCACTTAGCAGAGAAGGGAATGAGTGGAGGGAGATGGAGGCCTGTAGGACTGATCATGGTGGATCTGCTGAGGTAGGTGTGGAGGGTAAGGGAGGATGTATGGTGCTGCACAGTCCCTGTCACCAGATCAGGAAAGGACAGGAATGATAGATAGACCCAGTGGATGAACACCAGGTGGGTGTCCTAGGTGGCTTGTGTTAAGAAAGTCCCTCAAATTCAATGAAGAAGCTTCCAGGCAGGGCAAGTGGGGACACAGTGAGGACACTTGCCTGTCAACAGAGACAGCGGCTAAGGTGAAGCTGCTAGCATACATGGTGAAGTAGATGAGGAAGTGCACCGCTTTGCAGGCAAAAGGGCCAAAGAGCCACCCGTCCAGTGTGTAGATGGTGGCTTGGAAGGGGACGCAGCAGATGATGAAACAGAGGTCTGCCATGGCCAAGTTGAGGATGAAGAGATTGGTGGTGTTGTACTTCACCTGGCCATTGCGCAGCAGTACAGCCAGCACTAGCCCATTCCCCACGGTGCCCAGGATGAAGATGAGGGAAAAGACCACAGGCACAATGATGCCTGCAGCACGCATCTCCAGGCTGCTGGAGGAGGAGGAGGTGTTCCAGCTGCCAGGCATCTCCTCGTCAGAGAGCATGAGCCTGGCAAGACAGTGAAAAGAGACAAATGGCAGGTTCCCCTGTACTCATGGTACATCTCAGGCATGCCCATCAAAGGTACGAGATACACAAACTCCTCTCAAAGAAAGCCACTGTGCCTAGGGTCAACTTGGTTCCTACTCAGGGGTGGCTCTTTTAATGCCTCACTGAATAGGGTACTGTCTATGGGCCTCTGGGTGTGAGAGACCCCAGTGTGAGTCTTACCTATGTTATACTATGGGCAGTGGTGACTTTAGACCTATGTAGCTGCAAAAATCCCTTCTGTTCCAAGAGCCCAACATCCTACTTCCATTGAGCCATCCTCCAGAGCCCTGTTCCTGATTCCCTCTGCATGGTCCTGTTTGACTCCAGTGGCCATGGTCTATGTCAGGGTTGAATTTCATAGCAGTTTTCCCACTCCCCACTTGGAAAGCTGTGCTTTGGCTCCATCTCCTGGCTCCTGCTCCATATAAAGGAGTGTCCCTAGAAGCAAGGGATTTACCACTGCCTGACAGAAGTTGGAGGCACATTTGGGGGTATTGTAGGTACTGGGTGGTGGTGAGACCTGGATCAGAAGTGGAGAGGAAGCTGGCTAAGATGCTCTACATGGTTTCACATTGATACTACAACAGCTGGGATCGGCATAATGACACCTTAAGGGAGGTGCCTGAGGTGGAGTGGTATTTGGGCATCTAGACTTTGGTGGTGGGGGAGACCACAAAAGGTGGGCACTATCCCACAGGAGCCCAGCAATGGGTGCTAAGCTGCTGTACCAAAAATGAGAGGTCACATTAAGGTCTCTGACTGATGCACTTCCCTCTCCCTGGTCCAATCTTCCCTTGGATATCAGTAATGACGGCATCCAGCGGTGCAGAACTCCTCCATCCACAGTGACGTAGCTGGCAGGAGAGGTGCTGGGATCAGCCAGTCAGGATTTGCTTGGCTCTCGGTCTCTGGCAGCCCCTGAATGTGCAGAGTCCCTCTTTCCCCATCAGTTAAAGCTGCAGGGCGTCAGTACCAGCTCTGGCGCCAGCCCCTAGAAGGAGCCTCTGCCAGGCACCACTTGACCCTCTTTGTTTCACTGCATTCCCAAAGCCATTAACCCTCTTGGGATTTCTTGTTTGGGTGAGTTTTAATCTCTGCTTTCACTTGCCTGAGCACAGCGGAGACTGGAGGGAAGGTTGGGGTGGGGGGAGAGGAATCCAACTCCTAATCAAGGCCAATGGCTGGGAGGTCTGTTGGCCAAGGGGCTATACTACCCCAGAGGGGAAGGCTTTTACGCTGATACTAGTACAGCATTTCTCAGCCTGTGGGTCACGGCCCAGAAGTGGGTCCCAAGAATATATGAAATGGTCACGAACAAACTTTAAAAATGGATTCTCCATTAAAGGAAAAAAGTGGGAAGCTGTGGCTTTTCCCTTGCAGGCTGGTGGAGTTCCAGCCTGCAAGGGGCTGCTTGGGGACCCCACTCGCCACACACCCATGCCTTGCTCCACACACTGGGGCCTGGGAGCAGCAGGTCAGGAGTAAGGGGCACTGGGCCGGGACTGGCCGTCGATGTTTACAAATGGGTCCTGGTACAAAAAAGACTGAGAGCCACTGATATAGTATACATGGCTACCAACATCAAAAGTAACACCTGGCAGTCCTGGCTCCCTCTGCCCTGTCCCACCCTGAGACAGTCCTCCCCATTTCCTCAGCCCCAAACCCTATTTTTTTTCCAGGCAGAAGCCACGTCCTTGAGGTCATTCTGTCCCATGCCAGGGAGCAGGCTGCCTCTGCTACGTTTGAAATAATAATCGTATGGCCCCGTAGAGGTGAATCAGAGAAAAAGAGCCCAGTTCTTGGGCTCATGGGGAAGGCAGTGGGAATGCTTTTTGTGCCTTGGGTTCTACCTCGTGTGAGTCACTTCACTGCTCTGTGCCTCTGTTTCTCTTCCCTCCCCTCTCCCCCTCCCCACTCTTCTAGTTCACTTGTGAGATCTCTGGGGCAAGGACTGACTTTCACTACGTGTATACATAAAGTGCCCAGACCCCAGAGCAGTACAGGAATGCAAAGCATTAATCATTAAGAAGCTTAATTAAACTGCACAAGCAGTGAGTACCCTCTAGTATTCTGATGGCTTCCAGAGCCTCACCTAGACCCCTGTCTCAAGCAGGACATTGAGTAACAGAGCACTTAGCCACTGATGCATGGGCATCATCTCTTGTAACAGCAGTTCTCATTATTATTATATCCTTGGAGCAAAGTGCCAGTGAAATAATCCTGAGAGAAGGATGCTGTTACCTAGCAACAGCTGAGACCTGATTAACTCCCTTACGGGTATCACAAACCCCTCAGTCCCAAGTCCTCTCCTGACCTTACCTTGAAGGGATCATGTCTTTCATCCGTCTTCCCCGAATCCTCACTGGGACATGCCAGGAGACTGTCTCTGCATTGCTGGCTCTGATGTCCCTCTTGTCCCAGAGCGAGAAGGGACTGTTGCTGCACCTGTCACCCACAGGGTCCCCTCTGCCCCATGTGGGATGGGCCTAGCTCTCCTGCCTAACACCCCCAGAGACCATCTCTGCACTGCTGACTCTGGGTGCCCCCTATCCCACCCCAAGGGGCTGTCCATGGAGGTCTCACCCACCGAGTCTCCTTTGCATGACAGTGAGAGAGGTCTGGCTGGGCAGGAGTGGGGCGGCTGGGGAAAGGGAGGCCTCTGCCCTTCTCCAGCCACTGCCTCCCCACCCTGCCAATAGAGCCCTGCCCTCCCCTCCCTTCAGAAAAGCTGGACTCACCTTAGCGAGGAAGATTGCTCAGGGCTGTGTGCCTCACTCCAGAGAAACCCTCAGCCCAACCTGGGCAGCACCAGCGAGGAGACAAGAGCATGGAAGAAACAATCCCAGACTGCTGCTGTGCCCCTCTCCCTTCCTGCCTGTCCCTCAGTCAGGGATGCAGAAAACTCTGAGTTTGAAGGAGCAGTGTTTCTCCCGCTGCCTCTCTGCCTCTTGCCTGTGCTCAGCACATTGCTCTGCCCTGGTCTCTGCTTTCCTCTCTTCTCTGCTCTTGCTTTCTGAGCCCATTGATCTTTTTTTTTTTCCTTGAGGTTGGATTTGGAGTTAACCCCCCTCTACCCAGTCTTTCTCTCTGGGTCCATCAGCTCCTCGTCCTTGTAGAAGATGCCTGACAGGATGCGGGGTGGGCACTGCAGAGGGTAATGGCTTCGATAGCTTGGTAAGAGCAGAAGGAAGGAATGGGACACAGATTCCTACAGACCCTGCTGAGCTCCATGAAGACCTGTTTCTAACATAGCACTGATAGGAAATACTAGCGCACCAGCAACCCTAATCAGCCTTCCGACCCATTCCCACTCGTGATCACTGTGATGCAGAGACTGAGCTCCCCAGACAACAGAGTTGCAAGCTGTTTTCATTCCTGCCATGTGTAGAAGCCCAGGTCACAGACCAGCTTTCTGTTCCTCACATGATGGCAACTGACCTTGGGAAAGACGGAGATGCAGAAGATTTTCCCCTAGAGGAGGTGTTCCCCCCCCGGCTGTTCAGCTTTGCTGTCCCCAAGAAGAAGGAGCTGTGGCACCATGATAGGGGGATCCTGGGAGGCAAGAGGCTCCTCCATGGAGGAGATCACACTGCCTGGGGACAGCCAGACACACAGGCTGGGCTCTGGATTTGGTCATCTGGTGACTGTGAGGTTGGAAGAGCCAAAGGGAGGCTGTGGCTGTGCCTTCCCCAGCAGGAGTTGCTGTGCCCTTTGGGAGGGGAGATGTATGGGGCTTGAGAAGGGGTGGGGTGGGGGTGAAAACACAGGCCAGCATGCCATGAACAATATGATCCCAGGCACACCACAGCTCTATGCCAGCCGCAAGAGGGGGTAGGTAGGGAGGGGGAGGGCAATGGCTGTGTAGAGGCCAGTTAAATGCATATAGTTAAACTCTACTGCAGCAAAAGAGAGAGATAAAGGGACCCACAGGCTGGCTCCTTTGTTGCAGTGAACCCAGTACTCATGTTGCCATGGGAATGGGATTGTTTGCAGGCTGGTGGCCTTGTCAAGGAACAGCTCAGGTGAGTTGTACTTGGCGGCTGGCTCTCCAGCAGGGCTTCAGAGGAAAGGGAACCCATGTCTCTTTCAGGCACGGCTTCTTCCACCCCACAGCCTGAAACACTGGGCTGGGAGACTGAAGTGTGGAGAAGGAGAAAAAGCATGTACGAGTATCTCCCCCACCTCCACTCACCACCCCTGCCCCTTCCCCCCAGGCTCCAGTCTGGGCTGTGTTGCTGAGCTGATGCATCCCATAAAGATTCAGAAGGGAAGGAGCTACCCCAGACGGCAGGATCAGTGCTGCATGGAGGCAGCAGCCAGCTATTCAAACACATGACACATGGCTCCTGGCTTTGAAGTCTCTCCCTCACACCCCTCACTGCTCTCTGTTCTGCCAACTCCAAGAGCAATGGTACCCCGACCCCCAGCAACAGTGGCTATATCCTGCATTGTGTCTAACACTGGACATTACACTCCAGTAGCAGCCCCTGCATCTCCTGCTGGATCTAGCAACACCTCCCTTCCTTGCCTAATGGCAGCCACTGCTCCCTACAATCTGTACAGCCTCTGCAGTCCTTTGTGCACCAAATGGGTATCATTGTACCTCAGTGTTCATTACTTCCCCAGTGGCACCTTCCCTTGCAAGGTCTACCAGCACCCACAACACCAAGAAACCCCAGCAGCACCAGCTACACCTCTACAGCCAGCAAAAAATATCTTTACTCCTGACACCCAGCAAACACTGCCCTTGCACCCCCAGCTACAACTGCTGCAGTCAGCAGCTCCTGCTGCCCACACAATACTGAGCTATGCCCCCCCACCCAGGGGGATGGGGGTTTCCCTCTGAATAGTTGGCTGATGGTTGTGTCTCTGTGGGCTGCAGCAGCATCTAGTATCAGCCTGTAACTAGGGTAAAGGGGAAGGATTTCTCTTGGCCAAAGGGATCCAGTGATAACCAGAGGGAGGGGACTACAAATGTGAGCCTGCAGCACAAGACACTCAAGAGGAGACCTGCAGAGCTGCGCCCATCATGGAGGTCAGAGCATGGCTCCTCTGCCTTCTGTTGCCAGGGACAGTGGCCCAAGGGTCTCTGTCCTCTGGAGCATCCTTCCTTTCCCAGGAGGGAGAGCTCTTCCTTAGCGAGAACCCCCTGCCACCAGAGAAGACCAGTGAGACATCCTCCCACAACTCTGATGTCTACCTCATCCGAAGCAAGCCGTCTGCCCACGTGAGGCCATATAGCCTGTCCCTCGCCCCTGACGACTACCACTATACCCCCAAGCCCAAGCATCTCAGGGCCCCCCGCCTGCTGAAGCTGCTGGGCTCCTCCTACGACCCCTTCTGGATGTCCCCGGAAGACCCACGAGGCCGCAACACCAGCCTGGAGGAGCTGGGCACCCTTAGCCAGGACCTGGCTGATGGCACCAGCCGCTACCGGAGAAAGTTGCTGCAGGCAGCAGAGGATTTGGAGTTCCCCCTTCTGCCGGTCTCAGAGGAGGGGCTGCCAGGCAACCTGAGCCAAGCCATCACCCACCACCTCCGCCAGTGGCTGGTGGACAGCGCCACTTGTCACCTGACCTCGTCCTGGGTGGACCTGGGGCCTGTCTTCTGGCCACGGTGGGTGCGCCGCACAGAGTGCGATGCCTCCCACACTCGCTGCTCCTGGCCGCCAGGCATGACCTGCCACCCTGCCCAGTTCACCCACATCAAGCTTCTGGTCTGGCATTGCTGGGCAAGCAGGGACCCAGGCATGAGCACATCCAGAGTTATCCAGCAGTGCACCTGGAGACAGATCCCTTACCCGGTGGTAGCTGCATGCAAGTGCTCCTGTCGATAGCTGAGGCATGAGGGGGAGGAGGAGGGCACTCCTTCCTCCTTGGAAGCTCGGCTCATGGGTGTATTGCTGCCTTGAAGGGCTTGCTGCCATGTCTCACTCACTGGAAATAGCCTGTGCAGCTGGCTGGAGAGGCTGATCCCACCATGCAGAAACAACAGACAGAAGTTTTCATGAACCAGCAAGATGCTGAGAGCGATACCCCTGAGACCCCGCTGACCACAGCCCTTGAGAGCCAGCACCCTCTCCACAGAGGTTGAGAAGGTGGAACGTGGGTGGATCATCAGGACTTGATTGTTGGGGGAGCTGGGACTTGGAAAGCCCTGCCACGGCCGAGGGAACGAAGCCGAGACCGGAAGGAGGTGGGAGTCAGAGGCGCCACCCTTTCTCCTGTGTTTTCACCCATCACACTAAGTAGGATCTAGAGCTGAAGTAGATAGGTGCGCTGGGCTTCGCAGGCTCTAGGGAAATGTCAGGGATCACTGTCATTGCCCAGGAGCCCTGCTGCTTGCATGGGGAAATAAAACTACAACAGGTGAATGCGGTGGTGTCTGTGGTGGTCATTAGTTACCTGGAGCCCAAATGCTGTGTCTGCTGTGAGAAACCAGCTGGGTTATTAGCTGTGTGGCACAGGGAGCCATGCCTTTGCCCACTGGCTGGCATATCATGGGAGCAAGCCCCCACTTCTGCCTCCTGGCTTGTCCCCAGTACACACACGGCAAGGCCAGTGCAGTGGGGGGTGGGTGCTGTGCTGTGCTGTGCAGCCAAGCCCCCTGGCTCTGTTGGGCTCCTCCTGTGGACAGAGCAGGGCAGCAGCCTGCTGAGAGGAGATGGGTTTTTTTAACCTGGTGGGGCTGATCCATAGCTCACTGAAATCACAGGATCTTTTCCACTGATTTTGGTGGGCACTGGGCTGGGGTCTCTTTCAGGTGATACCCCACATGGTGAGATGCCAGGGGGTAACTTTTCCTTTGTTTCCAGAACAGTTTCCACTGTTTTCCAGAGCAGTGCCAGAGAGAGGGAAAGGCCCCAGTCTTGGAGGCCACAATGCATTGTTTACCCAGGGAGTCCTTGTGTGAGCCTGTTGTTCCCACTGGTTTATCTGCTGTGAAGGACTTGGGACGGGGGTCAGCTCAGTATCCCGACACAGCCCAAACAAACCAATTCAGTGCAGCCCTGTGCCTGGGCCTGCCACAACTTCAAACCCTGCGAGTCCTCCTGGCTCTCTTGTGTGAACTCTCGAGTGCAGGGTTGGTCTGCTCTCCATGGGCATCAGTGGGATGCGAAAGCCAGGCACAGCTCCTGTCATGGTGAAGATAGTGCCCTGAGCTCAAGAGGTAGGAGCATCAAACCCATGCTGAATGAGGTACAGGCAACTATCTGTCTCTGCTCTCAGGAACCCCCGCGCTGGAAGAGCAGAGGGTGCTGAGAGACACTGGCAGAGCTGTGCATGCTGGAAATGGAGGCAGAGCTGTAGGTTAGGACTGCTATGCACTGGTGCAGCAATGGGCTTGAGAGGAACTGATTGGGCTGTATCAGCAGAGAGCGAATTTAGGTGCTTTGGAGAGGCCATGGGGAAACCAGGACTGGAGCAGCGTGCTGCATGCATGCGTAAATGATGTCAGGACTCGTGCAGGTTCTGCTTCAAGGCTGAGGTGCACAGGGGATTTATGGCATGAGGTAGGACTGGAATGGTGGAGTGGGCTGTAGTGCAGGACAGAGGTGCATGGGCTCAGCTGTAGGGGAGCCTTAGAGCACAGCACAGGAGGGGTATGCCATACCACACAGAAGTGCCTCAGTAGAGCCAGGACTAGACTAGCAAGGGTACACTGGCCTAGGCCCAGGTATTCTCCTGAGCTGTGCAATTTCTGCAGTCCTGCAGGGTGGAGGCTGCAGGAAAACTGCATTGCCTGCAGCCATGTGATACATCCTGTCAGACCAACCTGGTGGCCTTTTACGACCAGGTCACTAAATCATTGGATGCAGGGGTGGCAGTGGATATAGTTTTCCTAGACTTCAGGAAGGCTTTTGATACTGTCTCTCACCCCATTCTCATTAGGAAGCTGGGGGACTGTGG